AACAAAGATTCTATAGGAGAATCCTGATCAAAAGGGGGAAAATGCAGAATGAAATTTAAAATCTCATGGACTCCAGACTTCCTGGAACTATGAAGGTTAGTTGAACCCCTGAAACTATTGTCCTGAGTTAATCTAAAACCTTAAACCAAAAATATCCCCTGAAGTCTTCTTAGAACCAAACAATAGTTTAACTTAACCAGTAAAAAATGTCTGCCTCGAGCATTATGCTCTTTTAAGATCTATATGGGATCAAATTGACAACAGCAACTCAAAAGATTAGATATGAACCTTAGGGGACAGTGAATTTATGTTAATGAGGGAGGAGTAACTCAGAAAAGGAAGGTGAGAATGGTTATACAACTCAGAGAATTTAATCAATGTCTCTAAATGGTACATGTAGAAACTGTTGAATTGGTAAATCGATGTATGTTTGTTGTGTATATTCTCAACAACATAAACATTTTTTAAAAAGTATCCTCTGAAGCTTCCAGGTTAGAGTAAATTCTTTAATCTCTAGTAAACACACATAATATACAATTTGGGAAAACTATAGTCCTTTTAAAGGCATTCATTTGAGGAAACTAATTTGATCCTCCCCACAATCCTATAAGGATTGAGTACATTACACTACAAGAAAACCACCTTGTAGTTCCCAGGTTTGAGATATAATCGTTAATCATCCAGATAGACAAAGAATTTTCATTTCATTGGCCTAAACATTAAAAATTCCTGCTAAGGGACCTAGTGACAAATCAATACTCTAAGGAAAAGGCAACAGCCAACACATCAAGTTCTGAATGTTAATATCTCATTTCTTGGGCACACAGTTTCTCTGCAACGTACTAAAAGATATTATAAGAGTGGAATGACAACAACCACTATGGCCTTCTGGTTGCCTTTGAGAAGTAAAACCAAGGCTAGGCCTTCCAGACTGAGTTAGCCCAATTTCAGCCTTGATAAAGTTACAAGTTTAAACAAACTAGGAAAGAATGATAGCTATACATCAAAAGTATGTGACTGCAATACCTGCTTCCTCTAGCTACTTGCTGAGATAATTTCTTTTTTTAATTTTTAAACATATTTTTAAGCTCTCTGTTATGGATTGAATTGTGTCCTCCAAAAGATATGGTGAGGTCCTAATCCCCAGTATCTGTGTATGTGACCTTAAGGAAATAGGGTCTTTGCAGATGTTATCAGTTAACATGAGATCATACTGGAGTAGGGTGATCCTAATCCAATATGAGTGGTGTCCTTATAAGAAAGGAAAAGAGACACAGAAAGAAATACAGGAGAAAGATGGCCACATGAAGACTGAGGCAGAGATTAGAGTCATCAACAAGCCCAGGAAAGCCAAGAATCTTTGGCCATCATCAGAAGACAGGAGAGAAGCATGGAATAGATACTCTCTCAGAGTCCTCAGATGGAATCAACAGGGCCATTTCCCTAATTTCTGACTCCTAGCCTCCAGAACTGTGAGACAATAAATTTCTGTTCTTATAAACCATCCAATTGGTGGTACCTGGAAACCCTGGTGGCGTAGTGGTTAAGAGGTATGGCTGCTAACCAAAAGCCTGGCAGTTCAAATCCACCAGGTGCTCCTTGGAAACCCTGTGGGGTGGTTCTACTCTGTCCAACTCTGAGTTGGAATCTACTCAACAGCAACAAGTTTAGTTATGGCAGCCCTGGGAAACTAATACACTATCCCTTCTAGCCCACATATTCTTAGGGCTACACAAAGGGTTTATCAGTTAAATAAATTGAATCCATAGACAAAGTAGAACTGCCCCATATGGTTTCCAAGGAGCGGCTGGTTGGATTCAAACTGCCAACCTTTTGGTTAGCAGCTGTAGCCTGCCATAGCTCTTAAACACTGCACCACGAGGGCTCCAAATAAATTATATTCTACTTGAATTAGCCTGTGTAACAGTATATGACATACACACTTACTAAAAGCAATCACAATCTAAGGTAGAAATTGTAAAAGCTCATTCTTAAAACATAATTCACAAGTATCTGAGATCTCAAAGAAATCAGGTTAAAAACTATACCATTTCTACATCTCACTATAATCCTTTCAAATTAGATTTTAAATGTTATTAAGTAGTTATTTTTCTCTAGTGATGAAATAGAATCAATTCTCCATTATCTGAATAGTAGAGAAAATTAGTATTTTGGATGACGCAAAACAGTGAAAAATAAGAAAAAATGTGCTTGACTTTAGAATTCTTTTCTACAACACATTTTACCTTTATGAATTTATTTTGCTTATTAAATTTAGCTTGCAGGTCTCATGCACATACTCAATGACAGCAGGAAACACTGGTCTGAAAGCATAATTATAAAATTAATTGTAGTAATAAAAAATAGGATAAGTCTCTAAAGAATACCTGCAAACTGACTATAAATCGTTATCTATTATAAGAGAAAATGAAAAACTCTCATATTAGAGCACTTCTCACAATGAACCAGGTCAAGAGAAAAACAAATTTTAACCTAAAAATGCCCTGAAGACCATGAGCACCTTAACTAGGATTTCACAGCTGATTTAACTGAGAGTAGAAGATGAATTATAATAAGGAAGATGAGCAAAATGAATTTAGAGTCTCCTGGAAGCTGAATGTACTCTCTTTTATTGTCTTACTTATGTGCACACATGAGCCCATAGAGAAATTAAAGCAAAGAGATGTATGCAAAATTGTTTGAAAATATGCAGCACATCAGAAACAGAAACAGCACTAGAATCCAACAGCCTGGAGTATTCCACCTAATTTTCTTTTAATGCAGTTATTATTCTACATTTTTGCAATCCTTTAATACTTAGCATATGGTGATTAATAAATACTTTTGTGGTCCCATTTTCACTAGTACTAGCTCTCCTTTTCAATTCACTGTTTTGTAACTATTGCTAACACTTTTTGAGTTCTTTGTAAGAACAAGGCACTGTTCCAAGAACTTGGTGCCATTTAATCCTTACATGAACTTTGCAAGGTAAGTACAACTAGGATTACATTTTACAGAGGAGAGGACTGAGACATATGGTTCTACAGCCTACTCTCTCAAGCACTATAGTGGGTTGAATGGTGGCCCCAAATGATATGTCCATAGCCTATTCCCTGGAACCTGTGAATGTTACCTTATTTGGAAAAAAGGGTCTTTGCAAATGCAATTAAGTTAAGGATATTGAGATGAATAGATCAGCCCAGATTATCCCAGCTGGCCCTAAATCCAATGACAAGTGTCCTTACAGGAGAAAGAAGAGGAGAAGACACAGCACACAGAGAGAAGGCAATGTGAGACTGAGGCAGATATTGGAATAACGTGGCCACAAGCAACGCCTGGAGCCACCAGAAGTGGGAAGAGGAAGGAAGTGAATTCTCCCCTAGATCCCCTGAGGGAACTCGGCCAGCTTGAGATTTCAAATCATCAGAACTCTGAGAGAAAAAAAATTCTGTTGTTTTAAGCCACTCAGTTTGTAGTGATTTGTATGGCAGCCGTAAGAAACTAATACAACCACCATGCCATACTGCCACCCTTCTGGGAACATAAAGGAGGCCTTTACTCCCGTACATATTTTGACCTAACAGAGCTTCTCTTTTGACTGTGAAAGCACCCTCTGCAATTCATTCTTTCTGGTGAAACGTTTTCCCGAATGCTGTGTCAGCTGATACATCTTTACTTATCTCTACAATTTACATCCTACTGTTTTTACTCTTTCTGGAAGCTGTAAATGGGGGCTTTTTCCAGTGAAAATAATAAATGCCTTTGTCCTATTTAAGGCAAATTTTACACACTAATTAAATGACTACAAAGAACATGGAACCTATTTGCACTTGAAAACGCAGTTCACTGAAAACATTACCATTCTGAAAACTTCCTAATATTCTAATCCAGAAAATAATTAATGTTATATTTGAATATGCATCCCTGGGTGGTGCAGTTAAGCATTTGGCTGCTAACCAAAAGGTTGGCCATTGGAATCCACCCAGAGACATCTCAGAAGAAAGGCCTGGCTATCTATTTCTAAAAAATCAGCCATTGAAAGCCCTGTGGAGCACAGTTCCACTCTGACACACAGGGGGTCACCATGAGTCAAAGTCAACTTGACAGCAACTTTTTTTTTTTAATTTATATGTGGATATGTATTTAATATATGCTCTGAAATGGAAAAAAAATGTATCCTTAGTATCTCAGATAACCCATGACATACTTTTCATTTACTACTCTTATTGAAAATTATCTCTAATCCTATTTGATATTTTGTTGGATACTCTCTGTTTGTTCCTCTGCAGCTGCTCTTCACCCTCCTCGCCTTGCTCTGGGTCTGAGTGTTGACCAGAAAGGACCAAGTCAGTTGTGCTCCCTTGCCCTCTGGTTGTGGGTGAGTTTGGCTGAAGGGAGGCACTAGCAGATGAGCGAGCAGGAAGACCATGCGGTCAGGGTATTTATTTACTCCCTCTTCTATCTCTCCGCCGGACTTCAGGGTTGGCAGTGGCTGTGTTCCTCTGCCTAGGGCCACAGCACCTGTTGGGAGACACCTGCCATAGGTACTACTCTCTCCAGACACCACTCATCCTTTTCCCCTTCAGGTCTTGGGTAGAACTGCATCCCCCACTGCTACTCCCTGGTGCCTCCACGTAGCTTGTTTGTTCTCTTAATCCTGCCCACACTTCTATAAATAGCCTCTTCATGAAACTCTTTTAAATCACCCCTTTGAGTGTGCTGTCTTTTTCTGCCAAACCCTAACTGACACAGCTATTGAGTATCCCAGCTGATAACATTAATCTAACTTACTGAATAATTTCTTCTCATCAATAAAATTTTTCAGGGTTTTCAAAAAATGTGTAATTTAAAAGAATCGCAACTAGCTATGACTGATGTGAGTGTTTTTCTCATTTAACAACACCAGAAAAGAAAAGTGGTAGCTGGCGATCATTTCGTTCCTCTCAGACACCTCTGCTACAACTGACTCTTATCACTGAATGATTTGGCTTTCAAAATACCTGTCATCGCCATCACTGATGCACTCAGGGAACGCGAGGCTGCAGCCAAAAAGCATGATATGTTGATAGCAACTGAGGCGATGGAGATACGTGAAGAACTTGAGGAACTTCTCCATTTCCATGTTTTTGACAATTGAGAAGAAAGGTGTTAGCGTGGTGTGGTAGGGCAGCATCTGACATTGGCTGTGGGTGATATTCATGCAGGCACCTGAGAAGTCAAGACAATAACATTTAGGAGCAGACACATCATAATTTTATGGTTAAAAACTCATTTATATGACAGGTTAACATGTTCATAAGATGAAATATATTCTGTAAGTAATAATGATTATATATATATTTGTACTAATATATATACAATCATTTACATATATACATATGTGTAAATGTGTGTGTATGTGTTATAATGAAAGCAAGCTACCAATATTTACAGAAAGAGAGAATCTGTGACCTAGCTAAATGTGTGGAAAAATAGGCACTCTCATACATGGTGGAACTCTGGTGGCTCAGTGGTTAACAGCTCGGCTGCTAACCAAAAGGTTGGCAGTTCAAATGCACCAGCCGCTCCTTGGAAACCCTATGGGGCAGTCCTACTCAGTCCTATAGAGTCCCATGAGTCGGAATCAGCTTGACGGCAACAAGTTTGGTTGGATTTTGGTCTCATACATACCTATGGGAATATAAATTGGCAATCACCTTTTTGCATCACAGTTGGGCAGGGCAAAATGTATCTAAAAAAATTAAAATCTTTAAAACACGCATATCTTTTGACCCTGTAATTCCATTCCTAGACAATTTATCCTAGGGAGATAATCATGGCTCTGAACATAGATTTATGAACAGAGATTTTCACCTCTGTATTGTTTATAATTTTCAAAAAGTAGAAATCACCTAAGGGAATTGGTTTTAAAAATTAGGGACAAATAACAGAATACTTAGCTTAGATCAAAAGATGCCTTAGGAGAGTAAGCACATGGAGTGATACTCATAATATAGTAAATAAAAATAGCAAGTCATGAAACAATTTGTATGCAGCAATCCTGTTTTAAAAATCACACATTCGTACAAGATTTTCCAATCCTTCCTATGTCAACAGTTTAGATCAGCTCAGAGCCCCCTCTTCATTTTCTTTCGTAACCATCTCTTCTCCTGGGCACCACGATGTCTACAGTCTTTCCTTCTCTTCCATTCCAGAAATTTACATGATTGATCTTGTATAAACCAAAATGTTAACATGGGTCCAGATGACTGGATTTTAGGTGACTTATATTTTTCTGTTTTCATTTCTCTGTTTTTTTTTTACTGGTCTAAATAAAGATCTATTACTTTTGTAAAAAGAAGATATTAAAATTTTGTTATTGTTGCTACTATTTAAAAGCAGAATCTTCAGGCTTTGGAAATGCAGTGGAAGCATGGATTCTTTTTTTTTTGAGGAAAAAGAAAGTAAAAAAGGAAAGAAGTTCAACAAAAATGGGAACGTTTCTTCCAACCACAATGTAATTCTCACTCAAAGAAATAGAGGGAAAAACCTCTCCAAACATAACACTAACTCCATTTTAATAAAAATAATTTTAAAAGATAAAGCTGCATCTCTGTTAAAATAGTCAAACTAACTCTTCAATTTGTACTAAAAACCAAAATTTTGAAGAATCCTTATCATCGAAGTATTTCTAAATAGAAAGCTTCATTCATTCAGATAGCATCACTTCAGTCTTTACTTCTGATCCTCACATTGTCTTTTCTAGGTCTCCTCGTAAGCACACTTCCCAATCTTACTTTTCTTTCAAACTTTCTGAAAACCTCCCAAGCCCTGTAGGAAGCCTATTACCAACAACTAGGTTGTAGATCACACTTCATGAAAAGACACAGCTCCCCATTGTTAGATAATATCTACTGATCATTCAAAATGTGCTGAGCTCAGAGGGGTATAATCAAAACATGGGTTCAGATTTCAAAGGCAACCAAAGACATTGGAATTTCCAAAGACGTTTGGAAGTTTTCAAAATACAAAGTAGGAAAGGAAGGAATTAGAAAGGAAGAAAAATCTAAATAAAAATATGCAGACAGATCACAAATAAACATATATACACATGAATATATATGCACAAATTTGGCTGCTAACAGAAAGGTTGGCAGTTCAGATTCAACCAGCGGCTCCTCAGGAGAAAGCCCTGGCAATCTGCTACAGTCTAGGAAACTCTATAGGGAAGTTCTTCTCTGTCATGTGGGGTCTGTAGGTATTGAAATCAACTCAATGGCACACAACAACCACATACATGAAGTCAGCGTCACATAAATGCTAGGGCTGGGGGAGTATGGTAGTGACTGGGGCTAACTGAGGCTATTTGGAGAAAGCTGCAGAAAGATGACACTCAAATAGTGTAATCAGGTAAGTTAAAACAATTTCAGTGTGGGTGGGCATTCCAGGTAGAGAGAATGGTATAGACAATGGACTTCAAAAGGACACAATTATGTGCACTATACTACAAGCAGAGAAGCTTGTTTAAAAGTAAATTTTTCTCCATGAAAAATATGACATAATCTGCATAAACTTCAGTCCCAAGAAAACATGTATTGAGCACCAATCTTCTGCCAGGCACCAAAACAGGCGGCGAGATATCATATCTATTTCATATATGAGGAAACGCAATTTCAGAAAAGATAAGATAACTACCAAGGCTTGCTTAGCTATTATGTGGAAATTCCAGGCATGAAAGCTTTGTCTTCTGAGTAACCTCCATTTGGAGACGTCCTAGGCTACAGGGAGAAGGGTTATTATGTTAAAAACAGTTCTTAAAGGAGACAATTTCTAACATCCTGTGAAAAGAAAAGGCCAGGAAACATACAGTGCCATAACACAATTATGGAGCTCTGGTGGCGCAGTGGTTAAGCATTCAGCTGCTATCTGAAAGGTGGGCAGTTCAAATCCACCAGCCACTCCTTGATAAACCCTGTGGGGCAGTTCTACTCTTTCCCATAGGGTCGCTATGAGTCAGAATCGACTCGACAGCAATGCGTTTGTTTTTGTTTTTGTTTTGTTTTTGGAATTTATATTAATACATAGTACACACACATATACTGACCACACTTTATAATTTGTTTTATCTTACATTATTTTCTTTAGAGGTTATCAGCCTTTGGGTTTATACACTTTATAGTAGACGATGTTTGAAACAATTAGATGAGCAAAAGTTTCATTCCACTCATACAGCTGAAGAAAACACTGAATATTGACAGATCATTTGAAAAATCAAGATAGAGAAGGAAATCATATTTTGATTGGCTGTACTATGTTCATGGCAGTGTGAGTTGTACAAAAGAAAAAAGATATTAGTTATTAGTTAATTATTAATTAGATAATTAATTAGTTAATTCTAATAGTTAATTCCCTTGGGAAGAGAACCTACACTCAGGAAATGATAAAACAGTAGTATGAAACCTTAAAAATGTGTATCAAGATAACTGGTATAACCATAAACAATAATGTCTTATATTTGTATACTGGTCTACAGTTTTCCAAAGCACTGTCATATATGTTGTAAAATTCAATCCTAATAATATAATGCATATTCTTTCATTTTAAGTGAAGAAACTGGGGCTTTTGTTGTGGGTGGATGGATGGATGGCTGAATGGACGAATGGATAGATGGACAGATTAATATATAGGTAGACAGACAGAAAAAAAGTGATTTGCAGAAGGACACACAGTCAGTAACAACGGGGACTGATTCTTAGGTCCTCAACCTCTTAGGTCAACATTCCTCCCACTACCCCGTAGCTGTGAAAAGCAAAGCAAATGCTTACGGAATTCAGAAGAGCAAGAAGTTAATGTAGGGTGAATGATTAGGGAAGATTCATTGAAGAGGAAGAACTCATTTTGGCAGCTGAGAGAGATAAGGTCTGGATTGGCAGAAGAGAGAAAAAAAAAGAAAAGGTACTGCTGGTAGAGAAAAATACACTACAAAGGCCTAGACTCATTATTGCATGTGGCAATGAAAGACGGAAAAACTCAATTCTGGCAGTGAGTTCAACGAACTTAGCTGAGAATCTGCTAATAGCCAACAAACTCTGACTCCTGACTTCATAACCTTCCATAGTCAAGTAATTGTGTCAATTTCCTATTATCCCTCCTGTCTCAATGTGTGCGTCAAATATTATTTTTTCCTATAATGTCCCATTGTCTTTGAAACGTGAAATTCTAGTACTGTATTTTTGCACATTCTCACCAGGGACAATGAGTTTTCATAAGCCAGCTACATGCTGTGCACCATGGGAAGTCATGCGAAGATGTAAGTCCCCTACATCTTTGTGGGGAAGGGGAGGGACGCTTTTGGAAATGGAGTCATTTATTGTTGCTGCTCCATCTAGCTCGGTTTTCATGTGGTGGAGGAAAGGGGCAGGGGGGCAGTTTATTTTTCTTTCCTGAGAACTTAGCAGTGAGTCTAATAGAATTAAAGCTCAGGATTGCTATGTAAGAATATGTAAAAAATACAAAGGATGTAATTAACTATAGTGTTCTTATAGACATCATTATTCAATGTGCTTTTTCTTAAATAACAGCTACTTCAATTGAGGGAGTGGGGAAGTGAATTTAGAAATAGATCAGAAAGGGAAAAAAGGTCTGGTGAAACAGAAATACTTATTCTTACTAGTGCTTCAATTCTTAAACATCATTGCTAGTAAGACATTCACTGATTTAATAACACATTTTCAGGGTATGTATAGATTAGAAGACAGGTTACAATTTTTTAAAAAAATTAAAATATGAAAAACAAAGCACTGCCTGGAATTGAGGAGTTGGATTATTGATTATTATTTTTTTCTTAACCAGACTCAACAGTTTTCTAGATCAATCTCGGTCTTCCTGTATTCATATCACACTGCTAATAAGAATTAGAGAGGAAATACGGGTCTGTTGTAGGAATTTTCCTTATGTTCATTTGGAAATTATGATCAATTCTTTTTTGTCTATTTCTGGGATTAGATAATGTAAAGTTAAAAATTCTTACTTATGATAATTTGTAAATGTAAAAATAAGTTAAGGATACATGCTTAACTTTTCTAAATAAATGTAAACTCAATCAAAGGTCCTAAATAGCTCATCTTAAAGCGAGAATACACAGAGTCATTCTTATTTAGTAAGGCATCTTGGTAGTAGTTCAGAAAAAAAAGGTACTGATTCATTTACTACACATTTCTACACTGAGT